AATTGAGAAGAGGTCCCACCACATGGGTTAAAACGTCCATGTTCTATTTACTGACCACAGAAGCAAGTGAGGTGGCAGGTGCAGCTCAAGGATCTGCTCTCCTGCTCCTAGCTGCCAAGCCTGGACGGAGTTCATCAACAACCTGCCCCACTCCCGGCTGTCAGGACACAATGCCGCAGGTGTCCCTGTTCCAGGCGGGTCTGAGTGCACACCCAGGAAGGGTCAGCCTGACCACTGTCCCTCCTGGGCGCTTCTGGAAGGGGACTCTCCTTGCCCACCTTCTGGGCTGAGCTTGACCTCACATCCCTCTGGCCACTCCCCACACTTGGTCGGGGCTGGGTCAGAGTGGGGGGAGGCAACAGCAAGCTTTCTCTTGTCTGTGCCCCTGGGAACAGTCTCAGGGCCTGGCCTGTGGGCTGTCTCCCATCCCCTCCCACCTGGCACACCCAAAGGGGGGACTGCTTGACACCTGCTCCCACCAATAGCCTGGCACCCACCACCTGTGACTGAGGGGTAACCGACAGCCTGCTGTGCTCAGAGGGTGTTTCACAACCACAACCACCTGCCTGCCTCCTGGAGGGCCTGCTCATCACTTGGGAATCACATGCCAGGCACTGTTCTAAGTGCGTATGTTAACTAACTTAATCCTCATGGCAGACTGAGATGGCAGGTACTATTTTAAATCCCCATTTTGCAGATGAGAGAACTGAGGCTCAGAGTGCTGCTCGAAGAGCTTCCTAAGCTACCCAGCTAGTGGCATGGCAGGTGGTCTGGTGCCAGAGCCCAGGTCTCAGCTACAAAGTGATACTGAATAAATGACAAAACTCTGAGGATGTAAAGAGAATCAGCTCTTCAAAGGAATCCAGCTGAATAGCCAGACCACATGGTCCAACCGTACAATGCAGTTAATGCAGGGAAAAGCGGGAGACATTGTAAAAACGAGACATAAGTAATGTTCTCAGAGAGATGCAAGATGATAACCACGGATGAAAACAAAAATAGGCTGCCAAGAGCAATCGGTAAACACAAGACACAGCTTCTTGGAAACAGAAACAAAAGTAAAAACAAGGTTTCCAAAAGAAAGAGGGAGAAATACCAGGATAAATATTGTTGAAAACAGAATTAATGAAAAGACAAAATCACTGGCAGAATAAAAACAGGATCTAGAACTTTCAAATCACTAGAGGGAAGACCAAGCCCATTAAATCAAGTCTGCTGACAACGGAAGCGTTGAAAATAAAGAAAAACAATGAAAAAGCATATTGTTTGTTTGAAAGAAAGCATAATACACTTGATGTAAAAGAAATACATAAAACCCTATATTCTTTTCACTTCGGACATTCATAGAACATGAGAGAAAAATTCAAAAAGCAAAAAAGGTACAATGCAGTAAAAATAAAAATAATAACAAAAGATCGTATGTAACCACTTAGTAACTTCTAAAACATTCTTAAATGCTCAGGTGAAAAAGAAATCTAAACTGAAATGATAGACTATTTAGAAATGAACTGAGTTGAACGCTCTATATGAAAAACATAAACTCCCCCAAGGAACATATACAAAGAACCTGAAGCAGCAAAGACAATTTAATATCATTTTGTCCACCAAACTGGTGAACGCCGCCGGGATTGGCCACCGCGGAGGTGCCGTGTGGGGAAGCAGGCTTCCGGTGGAGAGGAAATCGTTGCACCCGTTAGAGGGAAATTTGAGGTCACGCATCTTGTATTTGTCTTTCAAGAATATATCCTAAGAAAACAACTGAGCGACTGTTCAAAGATTCATGTGTAAGGATGTTTACTGGAGTGAAAACCTGAAAATATCCACTTTATCAACAGAGGAGCCGTTAAATAAATTATGGTTGTGTGCACATTAGCATTCCCTGCAGCCGTCAAACAGGAAGAGGCTGATCTATATATATTGACACAATAAGATGGTGATACATGACTAAATAGTGAAACAAAAAGCAGGTGAGTGAGCCACGCATAGAGATGACCTTGTTTTGGGAACCACGTCTGTTGCATTTGCTTCATGTCCTATTGGCATACCAAGTGGCACGGCTATCGATAGTGTGCGGAGGAGAACCGAGTGAGATTGTGGGGACTTCTGATTTCTACTTGATAAACATCTCTCTTGTTTGCATTTTGAATTCTTAAAAAAGAGTATCGATTCTTATAAAAAGTCTACAAAGATATTCACATTTAAGAAATAATAACGAAAGCTTACTCTGAATAAAAACTCGAACACAAAAGGGGCTAAATGTGTTTGTCTTAATTTCAGTCTAATTATAAATCACCTTACATTTGCTGCTGGTCATCCAAGTGAGGGGTGTGTGGGGATGGCAAGGGAGAGACAGAGAAAGGGGGAAAGAGGAGAGAGGGAGAGTGGAAGAGAATAGGAGGGAGAGAGGGGGAGAGGGAGAGAAGGGGAGAGGAAGAGAGAAGACGCGCTGAGTACAAAGTGCCCAGAGTTGCCGTACACACTGGGAAGGCAAGCTGGGTGGGGGCTGAACGAGAAGGGGAGATGAGCTGTCAATCATCTCCATCTCTGGGCAGCTCTCAGGGCATCTGGGAAGCCCATCTCTGCTCACTTGGCACTGGTTTCAAGAAGCCTTCCATGTGACAGACTGACCCGTCCTCACCTTCTCCCTGCTATTCCCACCTTGGGTCCTCACACACACTTGCATGCCCCGTGACTTCCCAGTTCCTGCTGTGTCACACGGGACAGGACACTGCCTGTATGTGTCTGGGTTCTCTCTCTCTGACAGCTAAGAAGGGCGCCCCTGGTCTCCCAGCCCACCCCACACCGACTGTTGCCCTAAGTGATCATGGTCCCCATCCTGCCCAGAACTCCTGTCACTGCGCCCGCCCGTACTGTCGCTGTCAGCCGCTCCTGTCTGCTCTGCTCTCCCCCAGCCCTTGTCCTAAACCTTCATTAGTCCTGGGCAGGCTAACGTTGCTTCCCGAGGAGTGCATCCTTCTCTTTAGAAGATGCTGCCAAGTATGTAGGAATGAAGTGTCATGGTCCACAATGCATTTTTGAGCGATTCAGGAAAAAAAGAGAAAAAAGGATGAACAGAAAAGGGAAAAGCAAGCAAGCAAATATGGCGAAGTACTCGCAGTGGTGGCAGGTCCGCAGGTTCTGGGTGTGCTGCTCTCTCCACCTGTCTGTAGAGTTTACAGTGTGTGCTACACAACAAGACATGGGGACACAGAAGAAACCTCAGTTTCCATGTTTATGAGGAGAGGGAGACCAGCTGGGTGAACACTTACACGTCTCCTGCATTTGTTCCTTCTTCTCCGTCCCCACTGTGACCATCGAGGTTCAGGCCTCTTCACCCACCCACATTCTGGAGGCAGTTTCCTCACTAGGGTCTGGACCCAGTTGATCCCATGCCCTCCCGCAGGCTGCCGACAGGTCCAGGCCCAGCATCGCAGCCCCGAGCCGGGCCACAGCAGGCTCTCCAGCATTATCTCCCACTGCTGCCTGCCTTCCACCACGTGGACCATTTCCAGCTTGAGGCTGAGTACCTGGGTCAATTCCTCTGCCCAGAAGGCCTTTCCCCTCCCACCAATCCTTCTCCTTGGCCACCTGGCAACCCCTCTTCATCCTTCAGGAGGAAATCTCTGGTCTCCTCCTGTCCTGCCTTTCATACCCCTCCTCCTTATGGCCTCACCTCACTCTGCGCACACTCTTCTCCTCTCTGGCAACAGTGACAGGGTCTCATTCATCTGCACAAGGTCAGCACCTTGCACAGGCACTGCCAGGTATTAAACAGAGTTGTTACCTGAATGAATGAAGTGAGTGCATGAATGAGCAATGCTCCAAGGTGGAAAAGGGGAAGACCTCTTCCTGATTTGCATACCTGAACACTAAAGTAAATGAGTCATTATGCTCTTGATTCACTCAATGCTCATTTCATATTTACTGAGAGACTATTATGGATGTACTAGAGGCCTGGTGCATGAAATTCGTGCATGGGGGTGGAGGGGTGGTTCAGCCCGGCCTCTGTCCTCTTGCAGTCCGGGACCTCTCAGGGGATATCCACCTAAGCCGGCAGTCAGACATCCCTCTTGCAGTTCGGACCCCTTGCTCCTTACTGCCTGCCTGCTCACTGCTCCTTAGCACTGCCACAGAGGCAGGGGAGGATCCCGCCACCATCGCTGCACTCGCCAGCCGTGAGCCCGGCTTCTGGCTGAGTGGCGCTCCCACAGAGCACTGACTACGAGGGGGCAGCTCTTGCATTGAGCGTCTTCCCCCTGGTGGTCAGTGTGCATCCTAGTGACCGGTTATTCTGGTAGTTCTGCTGTAACGGTTGTTTAGGCTTTTAATATATAGATTAGTCATATAACGACCTTTACACCTGAGCCAACCTTCCTTCCTCCCTTCCTTTTTCTTTCTTCTGACTGTCCTTGCTGGATGCTGTAATTGTTCTCTCCACAACCCTAAACCATAAGAATTTTGTCCTCATTTTACAGTTGAGGAAATTCAGACTGAGAAAGAGAAGTAATCTGGCTCATACAACTTAAGCTGACCCTTACTGCTGTCAGAGAAACGACCACAGAGCCACTGTTAAATATTTACCATGTTCCAAGTACTGTGCTGAGCACAATGCATACAGCATCTCTTTTAAGTGCTTTATCCTGAGAAGTTGGCATTATAACCACAATCCAGAGGAGATAGTAAGACTCAGAGGATAAAAGACTCAGTTAGCCAAGGTCCTGGGATTCAAACTGGGGTTCACATGACGTCAAGCCCATGCCCTCAGTCACTGCTGTAACTGTGCCATCTAGACCACAGAGTCGTATGAACTTGGGTGGCAGCCCTGTGAGGCCGAGACCGGCCTTTCCAGGTTGTCCATGGGCCCAGCCCAAGCCTGGGATCCTACACCCCTGCTGTTCACAGGGCCGCCAGTGGGTGGGACTGGCTACCAGCTGAGTGGCTGGTGATGATTCCCCTAAATGGTCACTTGACAATGGTCACTTGGCCAGCCAGACACTTACCCAATGGTGCAGCCAGCATCAGCCTCGATGGTCCAGATGCAGTTGAGATTGTGTTCATAGGGAGCTGGATAACCGGGTGACAGCACCTGCCCCAACAGCTCTCCTTTCACTGTCCCTCCACACTCAGCTGAAAGAAATCCCAAAAGAGTGAGTTTCATGGGGTGGCCTGTGCTGCCAGTGACCACTTGGTGCTTCCTCTTTTCCATGTCCCTGAGTCCCTCTCATTCATCCCAAGGGACTGGGCTCCGCATACAGAATGCCCCTGGGTGGGACTTGTATTCAGATCTACAAAGAACTCCTACAAGTCAACAGTGAAAAGACAAACAACCCAATTTAAAAATGGGAAAAAAAATGGGCAAAGGATTTGAATAGACATTTCTGCACAGAGGCACATGAAGAGGTATTTAACATCAGCAATCGCTGGGGAAATGCAAATTAAAATCACAATGAGATGCTACTTCTCACCTGCAAGTGTGGCTAAAATGAAAAAGACAGACACTAACAAGTGTAGGTGAGGATGAGGAGAAACTGGAACCCTCATCCATTGCTGGTGAGAATTTAAAATGGTGCAGCCCCTTTGGAAAGCAGTTTCATAGTTCCTCAGAATTAAACATAGTTATCATATAACCCCAGCCATTCTGTGCTTAGGTATATACCCAAGAGAAATGAAAACATACTTTCACACAAAAACTTGTACCCAAATGATCACAGTGGCATTATTCATAATAAACAAAAACTGGAAACAACCCACATGTCCATCAACTGGTCAATGGATAAACAAATATGGTACATGCATACGGTGCATGAACAGATTATATCACAGCACATGCAACATGCTATTATCATGTCTACCTCCTCCACACAACTATAAGCTCCTTGGCAGCAGAAACCTGGTCTTACCCATATTTTCACATCAAGTGTCTAGTATAGTGTTTGGCACATGAGAGATGTTTTAATAAATGCTTATCAAATGAATAGATGGGTGGATGATCCAATGAATGAAAAAAAACTTATTGCTTCCCAGGCCAATTATGATAAAGGTCTGAATCAAGGGAGCATGAAAATGAAGGGTTGAAGAGCTTTCAGGAAAGGAAATGACTGATGGACAAGATCCTGGAAGAAACAGAAGATGGGATCAACGTCACAAACAGAAGACTGGCCTTCGCCTGTTGCTATAATGGACCCATTAAGAATGTCCAGGGCACTATGGCTGGACACGGGACCACTAAGCCAGGGCTGGGGGAGGGGCTCTCTGCCAGTGCTCCTGAGACCAGATTCTCTGCTCCAGCCTCACTTCGAGTCCCTGCTCTGTGGTGCTGTGGGGATGGGCGATGCCAACCTGGTCGACAGACGCAGGATGGAACGGGCCCATAGCAGCGAGCAGGGTGGGGAGAGAGGATGACACATAAGTTGTGGAGAGAAGGACTGTCAGCCCCACAAATAGAAGAGGAAGCTAGAAAGGCGGCAGGAAATGACCATGTCCTTGGCTAGAGCTCCCTTCCGTATCCCAGATGGAGAAGCCCCTCTGGCTTTGGAGAAAGCGAGTGTTCGGAGGAGCAGCACTGGGAGCACTTCTGGAGGACACACCGCTGCTCTCCTCACAGGCCACATTCTCGGAGGTGGCCAGCCTGCAGCAGAGTCACTGTCAAGACGACTGGACTCTATTCTTCCTGGTCCTGCCCCTTCTTCCCGTCCCAGAACCCTGGCTGCCCCGTTGGGTTGTGACACACACTCACCAATGAAGCACACACCCGGATGTGTAAGTCACAGTAGTCATTGCTGGTAGACCTCGATAAAGTCTACGATGATGTGACATGTGTAAAAATATACACCCATAATCCCAAATACACAGCCTCACTCCCCTGAGTGGGGTCTGAGGGAGTTCCAGTGGGGAAGGCCTCTGAGTTTCAAAGTATAAATATTCTTACTAGCACTGCTTGAGCGCTTCCTCAAAGTTCAGTCCAACTGGCAAAAGAACTTTACAGTGAATCCTTCTGGCAAGCAAGTAATTGGCCTATAATGTGAATCATCATCTCTCCTTTACACTCTGCTCGCTCTGGCGTGCCTGCGGCATTCTATCCGTGTCTGCTTATGCATGTGTCTCCCTTGCTGGCTGGGACCTGCTCTCCTCGATTCCTGGGGCCTAGCATAGGGCCTGGCACATGCGTGAAAGAAGGGGATGAAAACAGGGATGCAGGAAGGGAGGATGGGGCATGACTGCAGACTGAGTCAACCTCAAACACAGAGAGGGAAAGACTCTAGAGCAGTGGTTCTCAACCTTCCTAATGCCGCGACCCTTTAATACAGTTCCTCATGTTGTGGTGACCCCAATTTCACTGTTACAAATTGAACATAATTAACGCATAGTGATTAATCACAAAACAATATGTAATTATATATGTGTTTTCCGATGGTCTTAGGCGACCCCTGTGAAAGGGTTGTTCAACCCCCAAAGGGGTCGCGACCCACAGGTTGAGAACCGCTGATCTAGAGGCTGTGTAGAGGCCACTACCCTGGCCTATAGGCTTAAACTCCTTGCCTTTGGACACTGCTGTGTAACAGTGTTGAAGATCCTGCTAAAATGTAATTGTCTAAGAATTCCTTCTTTTTTACAGCAGCATAGTATTCCATTGTGTAGATGTACCACAGTTTTCTAATCCACTCATCTGCTGATGGGCACTTAGGCTGTTTCCAAATCTTAACTATGGTAAATTGTGCTGCTATGAACATAGGGATTATGCTAAGTGAAATAAGCCAGTCAGTGAAAGAAAAATACCACATGATCTCATTCATTTATGGATAATAAAGACCATTATAAACTGATGAACAAAAATAGATACAGAGGCAGAGCAGCATCTAACAGACTGTCAAACTACAGCGGGAAGGCCGGGGAGGGTTGGGGGGGCGGGGATAAGAGATCAACCGAAGGACTTGTATGCATGCATATAAGCATAACCAATGGACACAAGACACTGGGGGGGTAGGGGAGGCCGGGGAATATCAAGGGGGGGGGGGAAGCAGACATATGTAATACTCTTTGTAATACTTTAAGCAATAAAACAAAATAAAAAAAAAACAATAAATAAATTTAAAAAAATGTGATTGTCTAAGGGAAAAGACTATTGGCTGTTAACACTGTCCACCACACCAGTGCACTCCCCAGCCCTCGCACATGCCCGGGCCACCGCCCCACCTCACTCCGCTTGCTGGTGAGTTCTTACCCATCTTTCAAAGTCTCAACTGAAATATCATCTCCTACGGAAACCCTTCTCACAGCCTCCAACACTCGGCATGTAACTCCTCTTACCGTGCTTAGAGTGTATTATTAATAATCTGCTCATGTGTCTGTTCTCCCTGCTAGAGTATGGGCTCCCCAAGGGCAGGGAAAAATGCCTTTTTCTTTCTTTTTGTGTTTCTCTGCCTCCACACATGCTGGCACCAATCCTGTCACACGGCCCTTGGTAGGCCCTCAGATGTTTTCCCAGTGGGTGTTTTGTTCCTATGAGATTAGCCAGTGCTGCAGACACACTGAGGTGGTGGGACAAGCGGTGGGGATGGAGAGAAGGCAGGCCTGCTGTTTGGGGCTGGGGAGCAGGACACAGCCACTAGGGTAACATTGCAGGGAGCTGGGTGAAAGGTGAAAGATGAAAGGCCAGACAGACAGAATGGCGTGTTTTGCCAATTTTACACTCTGCCTTGGATCAGGCTTCTCCAGTCTGTGGCATGTGGATAAGGCTTCCGAGAGCCTCTGCTGACATCCTGGAAGCACCCAGGCTTAGGGAGACGCTAGTTCATTGTTCTATTCCTTCTTAAGATAGTTTCTGACCGTACCCTTTCTTTCAACATTCCCCAGAAAAGGAAGCACAGCTCACAGAGAAACTAGGCCCAGCATGAGCTAGAGACTCATTCGAGTCTTGATGTTGCAGGAAGCCCTGGACCCAGGCTCCGCCAAATTCTTTCTTGTCCACTCTTCTCCCTCTCCTGTCACCAGCGTCACGAATCTGGGGGCCTGACTCGGCTCTGGTCTCACGTGCTAAATGGATGATATTGGCAAGCAAGGGGCCTCCTACCGACACAAGTGGGGAGAGGTCGGTCCCAGGTCCTGCGCTCCCCGCTCAGACACAGCAGCTCCTCGCTGCCCCGCAGGCTGTACCCAGGGTCACAGCCGAAGGACACAGAACTCCCTGCAAACTGGCCTCCGTCGTGAACCTTGTAGCCAAACTGGGGGGTTCCCGGGTCCTCACATTTGATGAGTTCAAAACCTGGCGAAGAGAGAAAAGAAGGGTGAGCAAGACCGGCCGTGGCAGAAACCACAGTCCTTTGGAGCCCACTTCCTCGAGGGAGCCAGCAACACGTGTCTCTAGTCCTGAGGGACGCGCTGCGGGGCATCACGTTGCTGTGCTCGGGTGAGGGTGTACGATGGAGTATTCATTCCCCCGATGCTATATTCAAATGATTTCAGTTACTTCTCCCAGGCGAGCTTTGAATAGCTTTCAGGCATAGTTTTTGACTTTTCTGTTTCTTCAGTTTGACCCCATAGCATTTTGCTAAGTGGGAGCTGTTCTTTGAGTTTTGCTCACCGAGAGATTCTGATGGGAAAGTTGCTTTAAATGTATGTTTCAAGCTCTGTCAGGCCTGCTTAAATGTGCTCTATTGCAAAGGCCGGAGAAGGAAACCTCGACAGAGCTTCTCTGATAAGGTGCCTCACATGCTGTCTCTCACTTGTTATTAACGGGAGTCTCACAGGAGGGTATAACTAGGTGTATTTTACAACTGAGAACACTGACTAAGGAAGGTTAGATACATTGTTCCGAAGTCATACCATCTCAGATGATGGGAATGGAACTCCAAGACGACTCTGCTGAATCCCTCTTCCACTGATCAGTCCCCCAGGACCTGCACAGCCCCTCTGTCAGATGGCCTTGAGCCCGGGGAGAGGGATCCTGAGTAGCCTCATTGGGTGTGTTTTCTCTAGCAGACTTATTGGGAAATAATTCACATACTAAATATCCACCCTCCAGCATGTACAATGTAGTATCTTCAGTACCTTTGCGCAGTTGTGCACCAAGAAAGACAGTCGACGCAGGACGTTCTCATCCCCTCAAGAGACGCCCACCCACATCCCCCTCAACCCCCCCAGCCCAGGCAGCCCCGATTTCCCTCTGTCTCTGTGGCTCTGCCTGCTCTGGACAGTTCCTATAAGTGGATCGTATAACACGTGGCCTTTGGTGACTGGCTACTTTACTGAGCATCGTGCTTCCAAGGTTCATCCATGTTGAAGCATGAATCAGGTATCCCATCCTTTTTGGTGGCCACATACTCCATAACACAGGTTGTTTCATCACTCATCGGTTGATGGATACTCACTGGATTTTAAAATAGTCTATAAAAGTACATTACTTTGTATGTACTGGGCAAGGAGAAGCTCAAATAAATGAATCAAATGGCAGGGGAGCCAAAATGTGGGGATGTGACCCCCAAGTACTCCAGGGCTGCGTACGAACCTGGGTGCTTTCCATTTTCAAAATCCCAGGAGTGAAGAAGAAAGTTAAAATCACAAAAAAAGAGGGAAAGAATCAAGACTTAGCTCTTTAGGAAGTAGTAAAAACTAACATAATTGTCCGTTAACATTTGCATCTTTTTACATCTGGCCGTAGTTGAATATCCTATCCAATAAAGAGGGAATATGCTAATTGCCCCTCATGCTGTCGCAAAGATGGTGGCACCCACAGCCAATAAGGAGGGAATATGCTTATTGACTGCCCTGCCCTCAAAGATGGCGGCCACAAGATGGAGGCACCCAGTCCCCTCAGCCCCGCCGGGGCAGCAGGCACCGGCCTTGCCGCACGCCTGCCTCCACTGTCCCCCAGTCCCCTCATCCCCCTAGCCACCCAGGGCGCCCGAGGCTCAGGTAACAAGGGCTGGCCGAGGCTTGCGCTGCTGGCAGTGGCAGCAGCAGAGGTGTGTTGGGGGCGTCGCCTCCTGTCCCTGAGTGCTCCCGGACTGTGAGAGGGGGCAGGCTGGGCTGAGGGACCCTCCTCTCCAGTGCATGAATTTTCATGCACCAGGCCTAGTCCTATATAATAAAAGGGTAATATGCAAATAGACTGAACAGAGATGAACAACCAATCAAAGCGTAATATGCTAATGATATACTAAGGCTGCTCAACCACTCACTATGACGTGCACTGACCACTAGGGGGCAGATCTCCAACCAGTAGGTTAACTTGCTGCTGGGGTCTGGCTAATCGGGACTGAACAAGATGCGCTGGACACAACCTGGAGCCCTCCCGCGGTCCCTCCCTGGCCCGATCGTGCACTGGTGGGGTCCCTCAGCCTGGCCTGTGCCCTATCACAATCCAGGACCCCTCGGGGGATGTAGGAGAGCCGGTTTCAGCCCAATCCCATAGGCTACTCCCCTTGGGAGGGCGCCAGATGCAGGGCTCATGGCTGGCAAGAGCTGCTGTGGCAGCGCAAGCCTCTCCCGATCGGGACTGATTGGGTACAAGCTCGTGGCAAGCATAGTGGGGCCAGGATGAGTGGGAGCAACAGGTAGGAGCTGCAGGCAGCATTGGACTGTGGGTTTCAGCCCTATCCCTACAGGCCACCCAGAGGGAACCCCACCCATGCATGAATTTGTGCACCAGGCCACTAGTTATTTTATAAATGCCGTAATTAGCAAAGGCTAACTTTGGTGGCTTTAATGAAAAGCCTCAGTGTTTATTATTTTTAAAGTATTAGTGACTAGCCAGGCTGGTGTGGCTCAGTGGTTGAGCATTGACCTGTGAACCATGAGGTCGCTGTTCGATTCCCCATCAGGGCCCAGGCCCGGGTTGTGGGCTTGGTTGTGGGCTCAATCCCCAGTGTGGGGCATGCAGGAGACAGCTAATCAATGATTCTCTCTCATCATTGGTGTTTCTATCTCTCTCTCCTCTCTGAAATAAAAAAAATATATTAAAAAAATAAAATATTAGTGACTAAAAGGTAGGCCCTCAACTCAGCTAATCACGTTTAAACCACAGAGCTATGGTTTGAAAAGTGGCAGCTTTTCCCAATCTCAGGCACAATGCCTTAGAGCAGTGGTTCTCAACCTTCCTAATGCTGTGACCCTTTAATACAGTTCCTCATGTTGTGGTGACCCCCAACCACAAAATTACTTTCGTTGCTACTTCATAACTGCAATTTTGCTACTGTTATGAATAGTAATGTAAATATCTGATATGCAGGATGTATTTTCATTGTTACAAATTGAACATAATTAAAGCATAGTGATTAATCACAAAAACAATATGTAATTATATCTGTGTTTTCCGATGGTCTTAGGCAACCCCTGTGAAAGGGTCGTTCGACCCCCAAAGGGGTCGCGACCCACAGGTTGGCGACCCACAGGTTGAGAACCGCTGCCTTAGAAGAAACAAGCAACTAAGTATGTGCCAGTTAGAGTAAACCCAGAGTCCAACCTCCCAATCAGGGACAACCTGACTTCTCGTCCACTCAGAAGCAAGCAAGACTTACTGGAAAACTGCAGCTCAAAGCCCTTGCTGGTGTTCTCGGTGTCGGTGATGAAATCAAGCCACAGGCTGCTGGATGTACTATTCAAAGTCACTCCCATCATCTCCGAGCGGCTGAACACCCCCAGCAAACGGGCAGAGTTGTTGTTGCCATCATAGACCTGGACATAGGGAGACCCCAACCCAACGTCAGCAGCATGACCTTATTTCAAACAACAGCTTCTCACCCCACAGCCCCAGTCTCAGAGTTCAACATCGATAACAACTGTTAGGGGGGCAGTGAGTCACCAGGTACAAGGAAGATGGCGAGTGGAGCTAGCAACTGAACTTGGCTCCATTGGTGCCAGATCTGATCCCAGTCCATCTCCGTGTGAACTCAGTCTCTTGGAACTGCCTGCTGCTCTGACCTTTCCAGTGGAGACCTGCTCTTGTTCCCTGAGCCCCCATAGGGCACCAGCTTAATCTTCAGCAGCCTGGGGAGGCCAGGCTGGGGCTGGCTGCCTGCCCAAGCCATCTGTTTCTGCAGACAGGCACGCTGAAAGCATTCGACATCTCTGCATCGCTAGACACTCGGTCCTGTCCTTTCAGGAGATGAGACAGCTGTCCTCCTGCCTCACCCTTCCCCACTGTGGCAGTGGCCTCAGACTTGACCACTTTTCTGGACACGGCCCCCGGGATCCAGGCAGGATGGAGTTAAGATGACCAGCATGTCATGGTGCTTTCCCATCCTCAAGCTCAGTCTCTGCTCCTTCTCTCCTAAAATAAGGACTCCAGCGAGGGCCTGCTGGGCTTGCCAGGGGTGGGATCGTGCCGGCATCTGGCTTCCCTGTCCCATCTGTCCCCTGAACTTTTGAGCACCAGCCAAGTCAACAATCATCAGAATAATGAACTGGCCTCCCAGGTCTCAAGGTTGCTGCTCCTTTCCAGATAATTGTACAAATAACAACAGAAGTTGTGATTGAGTGAAGGACCCCCTGCTGCTTTGGTAAATATCAAAGATGGGATCTATGGGTGGGCGATGAATATTTGTGCATGGCACAGGATGTGGTGCCAGCTGCCAGCAAATTGCAACAATATTTCCATTCTACTATTTATGAGGCAAAGCCTTCTAAAGGAAGCCATCCTTCAAGCTAACAGTGCTGTATGTTACAGAGATTTGTTTAGGCCCCTGGGAGTCTCAAGTCTGTTTCCAGATCTTATGTGCAATGGCTTTATGTCACTGATAGACAGAGACAATTCCGGCGTTCCAGCAGACACACAGATGGCCCCAGTTCAAAGGGTTTGGCCACTGCTGCAACCGAACTGTTATAACATTTATTTTACCCATTAAAGCATATATTGGAATGAACTGATCAAGGTATTCATCGTCCATACTTGCTAACATCACAGTAAGGGAGACAACCAGACATCATGCACTTCTTGATGGAAGACATACTACGACCTATGGAGTCATTTTGCTGAAAAAAAAATCAAACCAGAATCAGATCAAACCATTGGTTTGATAGAGAGGACAGAGGAACACATGGGGTGATACTCTGGGGATGTGGTCAGCAAACCCAGAACATGAACAATTCCACTGGACAAATGATGACTTCCTCAACAAGTGAATTATGAGTGGGGGTTAGAGAGATGGAGGTAGAAACCTATAGATTAAAAAAAACCATGAGGCAACTAATCCAATGTGTGGACTTTATTTAGGTCCTGATGCAAATAAATTGCAAATTTAGAAAATATGATGACATTTATCAGATAATTGGAAACTTGAACGCTCATTGGATATATGATGGTATTAAGAAATTGTTGTTAATTAATGAAAGTGTAACGGGAACAGGATCTTTTCCTTAATTTCAAAGCATAATTCATCCTAATTCTGAGAACAAAAATGTTCTTATTAAGTGTCATTATGATAAAATATTCATTGCAGAAAACTTATAAAAGCCCAACGAAAATAAAAGCAACTTTCAGCACTCATAACATTTTGTTCTGTCTTTCTAGGCTTTGTTCTATGCATATCTTTCCTTATGCATATTTATTTTTATAAATACAACATCAAACTATAAATGCTATATGGTAACTGCTCTTTCACTTAATATAATGCAAATATTTTTCAAATCATTAAATATTTTTCCCAACAGCATTTAAATAGCTCTAAGAATTTCCATCATAAAACTAACCCAACCCCCAATATAATTATTCATACATTGTTGTCCAGAATGTGTGCCCTGGCACGTAAGAGGCACTCAATAAATATATGATAAATAAATAAACCAATGCTTTCTTCTAGTACTTTTGTCCTTAAAGCCACCTAGAGTTATTTTGGTATATGATCTATAATAATAAAAGTGTAATATGCTAATTAGACCGCACAACCTTCCGAACAAAGCTAGGGCTGCGAGGGATGCCCAGGTCCTGGGTGCCGGAGGGAAGCCAGTGCCGGCAGCCAGGGGAAGGAAGGCCTACTCTTGCACAAATTTCATGCATCGGGCCTCTAGTATAAGAATAAGATTCCATGTTTTCATTTTGTTTTTGTTTTTTTGTTCTGGTTGATTAGTCATTTAACCAAACCAAATATTTCATCCAACACCCATTTTAAACCTACCATTATCACATACATAGTTATATAAACTTGGTTTTGTTTGTCAACTTTCTGGTCTATTGCATTCTTCTATTTGTCTATTCCTGTGCATGACCCATATTGTTTTAATTACTATAGTTTTATAATATAAATAGTTAATGGGTAAGTGCTCCCTCATTTGTCTTCTTTTAACTTAAAAAAATATGCTGCCATATTTATTCTTCTAGATACACTCAAAAAGAATTTTCTCATATCAAAAACAAAACCCTCCCTACAAAAGAAAAAACCACAATCAACCTGTGTAATTTTGATAATCATTAAATGTATGAATTAATTAGAGAAAAAATGCATTTATAGGGAACTAAATCTTCCATGTACACAGTGTCTGGCTCCATTTAATCAGGTTGTCTTTTATGTCTTTCCATAAAGTTCTGTATTTATTCCTGGATATATATATACACATTTATATATTTATATTTATATTTTATTGATTTTTTACAGAGAGGAAGGGAGAGGGATAGAGAGTTAGAAACACTGATGAGAGAGAAACATCGATCAGCTGCCTCCTGCACACCACCTACTGGGGATGTGCCCGCAACCAAGGTACATGCCCTTGACCGGAATTGAACCTGGGACCCTTTAGTCCGCAGGCCGATGCTCAATCCACTGAGCCAAACCGGTTAGGGCGTGGATATTTTTATATTTTTTATTGCTATTGGGAATTGGGTCTCTGTATACATTTATTTCCTAACAGAATATTGCTTGTCTATAAGAAAATTGCTTCGATGGTCCAGTTCACCATTATGTACAGGTGATGGCAACATCCCCTTGAGAAATCTAGGAGAATCTATGTGCATCCGCTACATCTCAGCTTCTTTCTATTTCCCCTCTCTTTTAGATGTTTTTATTTTCCAGCTTTCTTGAGGCATAACTGATGAATGAAAATTGTATGTAATTAAGGTACACAACTTGATGTTTTGATATACATGTACCGTTACATCTGACAGCTCAGCAAGATGGCTTGGCTTAAAAATAAATATGCTAAATGGATAGCTTTTTACACACAGTGGCAAACAATGTGATTGCTGATGTCTGCTTGAATGCACACATGCACTGGAGTTCCTCTAGGACACACATCTAGAACAGAGAAGCTGGTTGCAACAAAGGCACATCTTCAACTCTGTCAGATAGTGCCAGATTGCCTTCCGAAGAGTAATACCAATTTTATCTCACTAATAATGTATGACAGTTTTCACTGCTTTATATCCTCGCCAACACTTAGTATTTTCTGGCATTCTAATTTTTTCCAATTTGATGGGTGTGAAATGGTACCTTGCTCTAATTTGTATGTCCCTGGTTATCACTGAGGTTGAGCATCTTTTCGTAAGTGTACTATTAATTCTACTTTCCTCTTCTGTGAACTGCCTGTTCATACCTTTTGTTCACCCATGAACAGGAAACCTCCCTGCTTTTATTTTAATGTCCTTCAAAATAAGGTTTTATTTTCTCAGTAAAGATTATGCACATTTTTGTTAAGCTTATTCTTTATACCATATAGTTTTGTTTCTATCATGAATGAGATCATACCCCCCCCCCATTATGTTTTAATTGGTTGTAGAAACACCAGCAATTTGCTGAATTCTCTTATTGGTTCTGATAGTTTATCAGTTGATTCTTTTGTATTTTTGGAATAAGAGACATTTTATATATTCCTTTCTAAATTTTATAGCTTCTTTGTTCTTTCTATCTTCTTTTGGGGGGTGGTGGTAAATTATAGTGGCTTGGAGAGGCAGTATAATGTTGAATACAATTGGAGATAGAAGTACTGGTCTTAGACCTGCCTTTACTGGATATCTTTAGGAAGTGTTGTCATTAAGAATAATGTTTGCTGTAGGTGTTGGTAGAAACTTTTTAGAAGATTAAGAAAGTTCTGCCTTTAGTTGTATGAGATATTTTTAAAAGTCAGGGATGATATATAATTTCATTACATGATGTTTTGGGGGGGCATTGATTGGCAGGATCATATATTTTTCTCTTCTGTTTATAGGATATTAGGTTGAACCACATGCATAAAATTGCCAATATTCAATTAGTTTTGACCTACAAAAATGGCAATTTCATAGTGTGTGCCGAATAAATAACAGTATGAGCTTTTCTAATGACACATATCCTCACATTCCTGGAATCAATTCCACTTAGTTTTAATACCCAGCTAGATGCAATATATTGTATGTAGAATTTTTAGACCTATGATCGTAGGTGAGACTGGCCTAGTAGCTTCTGTTCTTATGCTGCCCTTACTCAGTTTGATGTCAATGTTTCTACTTGTTCCTCATTTAAATAAAATGAATTAGGAGATGGATCCTAATGTTTTTCTTTTCTGAGACAGTTTGATTATTTCAACAATTAATTGTTCCTTGAAGTTGTTAGTTGCAAAATAGTCTAGGCCAGTGGTTCTCAACCTTCCTTATGCCGTGACCCTTTAATACAGTTCCTCATGTTGTGGTGACCCCCAATTTCATTGTTACAAATTGAACATAATTAAAGCATAGTGATTAATCACAAAAACAATATGTAATTATATATGTGTTTTCCGATGGTCTGAGGCGACCCCTGTGAAAAGGTCATTCGACCCCCAAAGGGGTTGCGACCCACAGGTTGAGAACCACTGGTCTAGGCCCAGGGCCCTTGAAGGAGAATATGGGGGAATCATAATTTATTGGTTTATTCAAATTTTTTCTTGATGTTAATACTTTTATATATAAAAATTCCATTTCATCTAAGCTTTCAGATATGTGGCTTACAGTTGTTCCTAAATATCTTTTTACTATTTTCATAATTTCTATGACTATGTTCTTTTTTCCATCGTTAATACTATATATTTGTGACTTCTTCATTCCTTGATCAGTCCTGCCAGGTTTGTCTGTTTTACTAAAGGTTTCAAAGAAATAGTTGGTTTTGTTAATAATTGCTATTTTTTGTTTTTTAGTCATTTAGCCTTTATCTTTAAAAGTATCTTTCTTGCCTGGCCAGTGTTGTTCAGTGGTTAAGTGTCAACCAATGAATCAGGAGGTCATGGTTCGATTCCCGGTTGGGGCATATGCCTGGGTTACAGGCTTGACCCCCAGTAGGGGGCATGCAGGAGTCAGCCCATCAATGATTCTCTCTCATCACTGATGTTTCTATCTTTCCCTCTTCCTTCCTCTATGAAGTCAATAAAAATATATTTTAAAAAAAGTCTTTTTCTCCTACTTTCTTTGGATTTATTTTGTTACATTATTCAAGCTATCTAAATCCTTATATGCCAGAAAGTAACAGAGGTATATTAAAATCTTCCATGGTGACTGTAACTTTATTAAAATTTTTTACATTTCTGCAGTTTTTATTTAATTTATTCATGCTATATTATTTGGCACATAAAGTTTTACTGTGGATTGATTGTACATTTTATTAATATAAACGCATCTTCTTTTTCATTTCCTTATGCGATGTGGAAGAGTCTCTCTAATTTATCTTATAATAAACTAATTTCATTTTTCTGTGGTTTACCCTCTTCTGTTCATTGCCTCCATTCCATTTTTTAATTGGGTGATCATGTTTTTCATCTCTATTCAATCTTTCCTCATCTCAGATTGCTCTGCTTTCATTATTGCCTATTTTTGTGTCATAAATATAATATTCTCTCAAATCTTGTTAGGAATACAAATTAGGAGCTTTTAAAGTTTTTGTTTCCCTTTGTTGTTTAGAGAGGGGCAATTAGCACTGACTGTTCAGATGGGTCCCTTTCTCTGACCTACTGAATATTTACACAGCCACACATCCAGTTGATTTTCTGTTGGCACATTACAGAGGGAGAGCAAACGTGGGGGAGGGAAACATCCAGTAGTCTGTGGGGGTGAGAAGAGTTAAGCTGGAAGAGGCCCATAGTAGGAGCTCTGCCTGCTCCTGGTGCTAAAGTGTGTGTGTGTGTGTGTGTGTGTGTGTGTGTGTGTGTGTGTGAGTGAGAGAGAGAGAGAGAGAGAGAGAGAGAGAGAGAGAGAGAAAGAGGGGGCTGACATTCCTGTTTTTATGCCCCTGCACTCACTTCAGGGGAGCCTGTAGAAGATTCACCTGCTTCATGGGCACATGCATAGAACTGTCATTACATACTATTGCATTTAAAGGTCTGTCCTGTCTTGCCAATATTAGGGGCCAGAATACAAGAAATCCGATGGTCCTGGGAGACAGCTAGAGTATGTGTGTGGGTGAGGTTTAAGACGTATTAAAATGAGTTAAAAAATGTACTGGCCTAGGATGAAAATGAAGACTCTGTGTGAGATTTCCCTAATAACCGACTTTAATTAAGGCAGCTCTTTGATAAATCCTCCAGTCAACTCATTGATTATACGCATACACACATACCACACATTACTGGAGATACACTTTTAACCAACACACACACACACAAATACAAGTCATATGTATGCTCAATGTCTGAACAATTTCCTCTCTATAACCTCCTCTATCATCCAGTCCTATCATTGCTTTCTCTTACATGTATCTTAAACCTACCTTCTTTACCCCCACTGCCACACATAGGCCATCATCGTGATGCACTGAAATAGTCTACGAGTGAACCAAACAAGTGCTCAAAGCATACATAAGCACGTGCACGCACACGCGCGCGCACACACACACACGCACACGCACACACATAATACACTGAGACAAGTATGCACAGACACAGATCCCTCAAACCCAATGAATTCTTAGACACAGATTCACACACGTGAAAACATATCTATACATATATTTATATCCACAAACATATCTACACTAGTGCACACACACATGCACACAGCTCTTCTTTACCCATGTTGATGGTCAGAGTTCACAATGGAAAACATGATCCATTGGCCATTTTAAATGAATATATTATTCTTTTATTCTTATTATGTGGTCAACCCATAATCAATCACATATGTATTTGAGAGCAGTCAGCTCCTAAGCCACATTCTGGGATACTCACATACCCCTTCTCTTTTAGGTTCTCACTTTCTCCCAGGTGGTGAGGCTAATATCTTGGGACTCAGGAGGGCAGAAGAAAAGTTTGGGTCATCCACACAGAGATAAGTGAGTGAATGCTGACCACACTTTTGCATACTATAACATACAGGCGCTAAACAATCTACCAGCGTTACCTTGAGGACATCGCCTTCAGAGAGTTCAAATGCCCTGGCTTTAAGCTGAATCCCCTTCCCCGGCTGGGTCTGGATGGAGTAGATGCATTCATGGTTGTTATTGTAGTTCGCAGGAAAGTTGGGGGACAGCAAAGTGCCCTGAGTGCCCGTGACTGAATTCCCACACTCAGCTGGAAAGAGAATCACAACAATCACAGATTAACTCCCATCAGCTACATCCGGAAAACAGCTCACAGCGCTGGAGAACCTTACAACGTCGACAAGCTGTTTGCCTCTCTACCTGCCAAAATGCCTATTTATCTGTCCATTTGTCTGCTTATCAAGGCTTTTTTTTTAACACCTGCCCTCCTACAATTCTGCCTGGTTTCTTTATCTCTCTCATTCTGTTTGTCTGTCTCTCTTCTGCAGAAACAGAAACGAACCCATCAGATACCATTTACTTTCACAGCGCTATGAAGCAGCCATTCCCCACACCTGTTCACATGGTATCATAGCAACAGAAATGACCGAGGAGGATGTCAGGGGAGGATGGCGGCAGCCAAGTGAGGAGCCACGAAGCCTTTCTGTATTGGAGGATAGAAACTGAGAGGACAAGATCGAATAATAATTGCTAGCATCTCAGAGCTTCACAAGGATCATTTCAGTCATTAGTCACAACAAGCAACCCCATAAGGTAGTCCCAGTTTTAAAGATAAAGAACCTTATGCTTTGTAATTTAGATCAAGTCTCAATTTATGAAGAGGAGGGGGCTGAGAACTCAATCCCTGTTGGTCCTGGAACTTAGGGGCCCTGAAGCTCAGGGGAAATTTTTCCCACGGACCCACTGGAACGCTGTTCTTTCAATGGGCTAATGAATTCACACCCTCTTCTCAAATATTTTTCTTCTCTTCAAGAATCAGTTATTACTTCTGCATTGTCCCCATAACTTTGTTTGTAGCAGTTATCATATTTTACTTGACTTATTCCTATCTCCTCCACTGCACTGAGGATCTTTTAGGGCTTGGTCATAGCTCTATATCCCAATGCCTGTTCAGTGCCTGGGTAGGGCGGCCATGAGCAGACAAGAGGGAAAGGGGAAGTAGCTCAGTGGCACGGCATGCGTTGAAGAACCCTGCAGTTGGCTTCCCAAGGTCTTTAATAACGGTGAAGCCTCTCCCTGTTATTCCCCCTAACACAGCATCTAGAATACTGCACCCTGGTAGCTTGTTACTGGCCTGGATCCCCCACCCAAACTATGATTACTTGAGAGCTAGGGTCATGCTTAATGAATCTATGAATTGTTAAGGCTTAGCCCAGATCATCTATAAAATAAATACTTGCCAAATGAACAAATGAATTAATAGAGTACACTGACCTCAGGAGATGTACAGTCCTAAAAATAATTAGGTTCAGAGGGATGTTAAAACACAAGTCTAGATGGCAGGTCCATTTTTTTTTTGTCTGGACATACAAGTAATTTGGAGAATTTATTGAATCTTTGAAACTGATGTAACAAGTCGGCTGCCTCTGAATCGCCCCCCAGTGTCCATCTTCTAGGCATATTCCTTGGCAGAAAGCACCCTAAGTCATCCAATGGGCCAGCGATTTGACCATATATTCACCTCTAATGACCCTAAGCCTGGAGTACTAGGCCAGGGCAATGTAAGCAAAGCATGTGATGTACATTCAGGCTTGGTTATACCCTGTGTGTTCTCTGGTTCCCAAGGCTGCTTCTTAGACCTTTGAAGACAGTGACCATGTTCCACTACCAAGTCCCACTATCTCAGTGGGTTCTTTCCAGTTCAGGACTGGCTTTAGTTTCCTAAGACTTTAGGTTAGTCATTACTATGGACTGTATGCTTGTGTTTCATCCCATATTCATATGCTGGAGTCCCAATCCCCAATGTGCGACCTTTGAGAGGTAATTAGGTTTACATGAGGTCCTGGTGATGAGATCAGTGTGCTCATAAGCAGAGGGAGAGTTCAGAGCCCTCGGTGCCATGTGAGGACACAGCAAGAAAGCTGCCATCTGCAAACCCCAAAGAGGGCCATCACCAGAGTGGATCTGCCGGCACCTTGACCTTGGACTTCCCAGCCTCCAGAACTGTGAGAAATAAATGTTTGTTTTGTAAGCCACCTAATCCATGGTATTTTCTTAGAATACCCCAAACTGCCCGAGATAGCCATGATCTAGCTTTCCGGTACCTAACCTCGGCCTGTTTGCAAATGGACCAAAGGTGCGTGATGAATGTGTGAGCTGGGCATAAAGCTAGACAGACAGAGGTGGGCAGGTACCCTGGGGGCTGCTGACCCTTTAGGTAGAAATGTTTCTAGAGTATGTAAATTTTCTGGGTGCATCAGATGAGGGGGGAGGTTTGGGAGGGAGTGATGAGGGCTATGTACAGTCAGACATTTATCACTCAGTCACATCACATGGGAGGCTCTCCAAAACAGCTCTCCATCCTCTCTGGGGACACAGCCCAGTTCCCTCCATCTAGGGAGGGGCAAGTGCTTCAGTGAGGTTGGCATGGAGTTTGGAGGCAGAGAGATAACTTATATCTACTCTCTAAACTTCAACCTCTTCATCTGCCTTCGTCTGTACAATAACACCATCCTCATAAGACTACAGAAAATAAATGCATGAGATTTGATGACAAAATAGGTGACCATATGGGGAGTGGTTAGCACATAGTAGGCCCTTTAACAAGTACTATTCCTCCTTTTTTTCCTCATCGATCCCAAATGAATCTACGCAGCTTACCTGCTTCCATCTGGAGGCCTAACTGCCTGTGTTCTGGGACTACCAGAAACCCCAAAAAATTTCTTGGGAAGCATGTGTTAGCTGCCTGATATTCATAGCACCCGCACTGTTTCTGACACCTCTTGCCTTCCACCTAGTTCCTAAAAATTGGCTTCCCTTAAACATGGGCTTTGGCATATTACTGGATCCCCTTCCTGTCCCTGGTTTTCAGCAAAACAGCTGTAGGCCCATCTCTGCCAGCATGACCCTCTCTTCCTCCCCACATGCCCAACACCTTTGTAAGGAGGGAATCAGGGTTGAGAGCTGTGGATGGGGCCAATCACCAGGTCCTCACCCCCTTGCACTTGCCCTGGGTCCCAGGGAAGGAATGCGAGGATAGAGGGATGTGGCACTTGCTTCTGGGAGTTTCCAAAGTTAACGGGGGAGGTGAGCGAACAGATGCACTAAAAAGCCAAACACGAGCGTAAGTGGAAACAAATAAATGTTCCAGAGAAACAAGCAGTCACATGCCCAGGAGAGTGCTGCTGCTGGTTCAGGCATCTGTGACTCCCATCAGCAGAGGTCTCACTGAGGGCAGGGGCTGTGTCTTATCCATCAGTCCGGGGCTCCCGAGCCAGAGGGTTAGGTCTTCTCAATCACACGGGAGCTCCCAAGGACAGGGCCAGGCTCTGTGTGGCAGACAGGGTCCTCCGGGGTCAGGACTGTCTGTTCCACATCAAGTTCAGGGGTCCCTGAGGTCAGGGGCTGTGTCACCCCATCACACCATGAATTAGAGCCCAGAGCTTTCATCTCCTTCTCAGCCGGGAATGTTCCTGGAACACTGTGTGGCCATATCGTTCCATTTACATCTACAGGGCACGTGGCAGCTGGGAGCCTCCCTGGTGGGCATTCCCATGAGACCTGCAACCTGCGGTTCTGCGGCAGGGCTGGTGGTTCTTAGAGGGGATTATAATTGCTGTGTTATTAATAACATGTGCATCAGAAGAAAAATGTAACAATGAAAACACTGTGAGGTGTCATGAATAAACAGTAATTAGAATAATAAGGTAAAGAATGAGTTTATGCAGTGAGATCAAGGGCAAAGCTGAGGGAGTGTGCAATGTGGTCCTGTATATTCCCACTCAAGAACCACCCCCCGCCCCGCAAAGTCACTTAGCTGAGGATATTTTCCCAGAGAAGAAAAGAGCTGCTAACAGCTGGATACAAACTGAACCTGCACAGGGCAGAGACGTGTGTGTCTGAATGTGTGCCCAAGTCGGGGTGGCTGAATTCTCAGAGGGACGGTTCCAGGAGAAAGGATAAACTTTGGGATTAATAGGTCAGAAATGGAATTCTGCATCTATTTGTATCACTGTTTCCTTTCTGAGATTGTAAAAGATGATTGGATATTGGTTATCAGTAAATAATATGAAAAGGTTATTGGCAAAATTATGATAATTATAGGCACCCTGCGGTTTATGTAAATGATGTCACCGAATGGGGAATAGAGCCTGAGTTGGATATTGTTATCTCCAGTGGGGGCTGAGGCTTGGTGGCCTCTCCAAGGTCTAACAGCTGTGAGTGGCAGAGCAGAGACTTGACCTTGAGCCTGGAGCCTGTGCAGGTCGAGCCCAGCCCGCCGTGCAGCCTTTCTGCAGCTGTCCCCTACAGGGCCCTGGCTCCATGGAGTTGTGTCCAGCAAGGCTGATCTCCAGGCCCTCATGACGCCGCTGCGTTTCTGTCAGCGTAGCGTTGCTTTTATCTGTTTGGTGAACTGCAGTTTTATGTACTATTTCACTCTGAGCGTGAGCTCCATGGCTACCAGCCAGCATGGTAAGTACTCCACTAATCCTGCTTGTGTTCCTTGGAGTCACATGTGGCAAGTATTAAGCAAGCAGAGCCGTCAACCTTACAATGAGGGCCAGCCAGCAACTGTCCCTGCTCCCTGCGGTCCCCTATTTCTCCCCACCCTCTGGGCCCAGAGCTCTGGCAGGGAGGCCAGCAGGGTCTTGGATCAGACTCCTGGTTCCAACTCTCTAACCAAGCGGTTCTCAACCTGTGGGTCGCGACCCCTTTGGCGGTCGAACGACCCTTTCACAGGGGTCACCTTAGACCATCCTGCATATCAGATATTTACATTATGATTCATAACAGTAGCAACATTACAGTTATGAAGTAGCAACAAAAATAATTTTATGGTTGGGTCACAACATGAGGAACTGTATTTAAAGGGCCAGAAGGTTGAGAACCACTGCTCTAACCTCATCATCTACCATTCTTCCTGATGCTTGCTCCAGACGGGCCTCTGCACTGCCCCTCAAGGCTCAGGGCCTTGACCTCTGCTCTGTCTTCTCCCAGATATGAGTGATTAGTTTCTTGAATCTCCTCCGAGCTTCTAAAATGTCAGCTCATCAGGGAGGCCTCTGCTGACCACTCTTTTTAAAAGAACCACCTCCAGCACTTCCTGAGCTGACTTAATTTATCTCAATGCTGCCTGACATACTACATAACTATGGGTTTATAGCTGATCTCCCCCACCAGGATGTGAGACCACAAGTGGGGAGACTTTCTCTGCTTTGTTCACTTTGGATCCCCAGCACTTAGGAGCCTGCCTGAGGTGCAGTGGGTGGTCTGTAAATGAACCCAGCTCTCGCTTCCTCTCTCCTTGCCCGCTGTACGGATGAAGCCTTTCTGGGGATTCTCAAAAGCTAGCACCCCCATCACACCAGTACAGGCGCCCTCTACCCCACCAGCGTGGGCCTCTCCATGGGCAAAGGTCATACCTCCTTCCTACAGGCCCACCCCCGCACCAGTGTTCTACCCCGATTTCTCTGCAAGAGGCATCCGGAGCCATGGGGATGTGTTAGGGGTGGAGGGACAGTATGGAAGTAAATTTCATTTGAGTGCCTAGTATGGATCCACTTTACACAGGTCAGGTCAGGCTTTGGAACAGCCCAGGAAGCAGGAATAAGAGGCTGGAGCAGAAGGAGGTTAGGCCACCCAAGGCCCCACTGCAGATAACTGGCTAAGGCAGTCCTCAAACCCAGGCCTGTTGGCCTCTTGGCCCGTGTGTGTTCCACCACCTCACACTGATTGACTAAAGCTTGGCCCACCCCATTAGTGAAGCAAAATGAAAGCACGTGACCACCTACCAACACACCTTGGCAGAGGCGAACTCCACAGGCGCCGTCTGCCCCCCAGGCACGTGATGCGGGCCGTGCCCTCCAGACGGTACCCGGGGAAGCAGGAGAAGGTCAAGGTGTCGCCTACACCAAACTGCAAGCCCTTCCGGATGCTGTAGGCGGGGACTTCAGGCTCCTCGCAGGGCTCCAGGTCGTATTCTGGAAGGGCAGCAGGAGAGCGGGGTCAGAGACAGAAGACGGGGTCACAGAGGAAAACACCAGGGAGAGACGATCCAGAGAGAAAGACAGATGGAGGCACAGATGAAAGACAGAGCACACACACAGCGATCCACAAAGGCGAAGGGGAAAGGGGAGAGAGCCTGAGAGAAACAGAGGCTGACAGACCGGTGGTGAGGCAGGGGTGGGACACACGGGCTGTGCCTTGGGTGGTCTGGATGCCTCACTGCCATGAATGGGGGGGAGAGGGGTACAGCGCTCTGGAACCTGCTTCCCAGGAGATTTCTGTGGTTCCTTGTGACTTGACCCCTCCCTCCTCTCCCCCTTCATCTCCATATTAACCCTGAGCTGCAGGGTGTGCAGACTGTCCTGCCTCTTTCTCCCAAGGCACTCATCCAGTTCAATCCAATCAGCCTGGTTCAGAAGGGTCAGAATGTATGACCCAGTTGAGGGAAAGCTCCACTTGGAAAAAGAATCCAAATGCTCCACTAAAAGCCGCCTCTGTGATGCTGGCACTGGAGGCAGATGGCAAGTGCGATGGAGTGGCATTTATGGGCCCGGGACCTGCCTCGTACCTCTAGTGACAGCATCGATGTGAGCACCCCCTGTCCCCGAGGGCATCTCTCTGTGTGGTGGGGAGGAGGGTCTGTCTCAGACAGATGAGGCACAGTGGCTGGCCAGGTCTCATCGGAGGCCGGCCCAGGCACATGGCAGGTGGCTTCTGCTCGGGGGATAGAAGGGGGCTGAGCTGGGCCAGGCCCACTTCCTAGAGGCCAGATGTCTCTTGCCCAACCTGGCAGAGTCCACCTGATATCTCGGTTCCTGGCTGGGAAGGGGGGACCCTGGGGAGCAATGGGATAAGGGCGGCAAAGGGGACTTGGTACTAGAGGAGCAAAGGGTCCTGTTTTCTCCCTGAACGCCACAGTAAAGAGTTTTCTTTTCAGGATTCCTAAACACAGAGACAAATATCTATTACTTCTAGGTTAGCATTGGTGAAGAAGCCCAAATAAAAGAAAGCACTCTGATATGTTACCTTCCAGCCCCCTTCTTCCTCTCCTCTTTTCTAAATGGCTGGCCTCTTAAACAGAAGTGGGATTGGGAGAAAGAAGTATCTGGAATTACTAGGGCAGGAACAGACTTCTGTGAATTCCTCTAGGCCGGCCAGTTGGGTGGGTCATGCTCAGAGGGAGACCTAGACCCCTACAGAGAAGGAGAGCCCCCAACACCTGCTAACTCCTCCCAAGCCCATTACAGGTCATTTGTCCAGTGTCTAACCCAGCTATCAGTCACTGCCACAGGGAGGTCTTTCTCCCGGAGACTGGAGCGTGCAGCACTATCCATCTGCTGGGAGACCAGGGCTGGCAGCAGAGGGCGAGACGGGGTACCCTTCCCCCAAGGGACCTTCACAGGCATTACCTGAGAAGGTGATGTTGAATCCTTCATAGGACATAGAGAAGTCGGAAATGAAGCGGACCTGGGCGGTGAAGTTGCCATAGAGACCAGCGCTGATGGGGGCTGGCAACCGCGAGCCCGTCAGCTGCCGCAGTGGCTGGGTGAAGCTGCCATTCTCGGTGATGAGGAGGTAGTCATGGCCACTCTCCAGGTGGAAGGTGTGGAAAGTGAAGAACACACCTGCCAAGAGACCAGAAGGGTGACGGTGAGATGGCTGAAGCAGCCCAGCTGCAGGACAGGTCCTCCACAAACATTTTCAATCCGTAAGTGTGGGTGTGCAGAAGTACAAGCCTGCACTGATGAGGCCATGTGGGTGAACCTGAATGAATGAACCGGAATGAACTGGGTCACACCACTGCCCACAGGTCTGGCCACAGAGAAGCACACTGCTTCACAGTTGTCAAAATTTGAAAGGGAGATTTATGGCTAGTTCTATGAGACTGCTTCATAGCCATTCATTCATTCATTCATTCATTCATTCACAAGCATTTGCATATTTGTTGAGTGCTTCCTATGGGCTAGGATCCAGGGCCAGGTAGGTGCAAGGGCATATACAAGACATTAAACAAATAGCTACAGTAGAGTGATGATTGCTATAATGAACACAGGCCAGATGCCACGGGAAGGGGGT